TCCAATCGATAAGGTCACAAGCCCAGGAGAGGCGCTGCAACCGATGTTTTGTTAGCAAAGGCACTCGAGTCGGTCTTCTGCTGCCAGAGCACATTAAAGACAAATTTCGCCTCACTGTTCTAACATCTTCGTTCGTCGTACGTCCCACATTGATTTCTGCGATTATTGTCCCTCAGAGTTGCTTATCTTTTAGCACTAATAACTCTTCGCAAACGCCGCTGCTCTCTGGTCATTTACGTGAAGGCTGTCGTCCACTGCGTTTTCGGTGGTGAATTGTAATGCCTGAAATTAGATACTCTCGGACCAATCTTGACCCTGCGGATACCAGAATACTGAATTACGGAACGATTTCCGAATGCGGCTTGCTCCAACTATTGTTCAATGTTCAGAGTCTGTTAATTCTATTCTTGCGCCTATAATCTCGTCAGGAACCTTTTTACACGAATCTCTGCCAATGCCCAGGCCTTTTGTTTGCCACACTACTACTATATGAATATTTATATATAGCTATCTCATGACTTGGGTCATCTCAGTGTATTTGCCAATGGGAGTTATCTTATTATGGTAGTAAACATAACATAATTTGATAGCTAATTTGTTTACTTATTAAATGTGCTTATATCTAAACTTATGATATAGCAGAATTGGATTATAGAAATAATTTGATTTATTGAAATATTTTATAAATCATTATTTACATTATTCTGTTAACGTTTTCAGAATTATAAAATAAACTGAAAAAGAACATGAGCCTGAGAGATGTCCAAAATTACATACGTATTAAAATCATAAAATTAACACGTTATCTGTTACTTTTTTTGAAAACTGTTAACATTTTGTTTACAAATATATCCACATTTAACCTTTACCATTAAACTTTGCCTCCGGACCTTCACCTTATTCGCTAAGGCGGCCTCGTTCTAGGTGTCTTTTCGCATATTTTCCCTATCGCTTCACATGTAGGGTTGAGTGAGGTGGGTGGGTGTGGCGACTTACCTCCCGCGCCCAGAGCAAATTAAAACTATAAATAAAAGTAACTGAATAATTAAAATCAAATTTACTTAGCGCATTGAATTCGCTACATTTCATGAATGAAGGTTACCAGCCTTCCTGGTGACTGCGATCGTCTTAAAATGTTACGAAATATTCTGAAACTCACTTATAAACAGTAATGTTGAACATGAATAAACATTAAAAAAACATGTATAGAGGGGTACCAGCTTTGATGGTATGGTTGTTAATGGTATAGTTGCCGGGCTACTGATTTCGAGTTCGCAGGTTCAAACCCTGTGAACATCGGGGGGGAGGGGGGTTGAATTGCCAAAAATCGACGGATGCACGGTGACTCTTGACGCCATGTAAAACATCCCAGAAAAGGAACTTGGTCGATCCTGGCAAACTTAAATCCTCTAGCAATTTAGCACCAATCAGTTTTCTATTTTAATTACAGTATAAGATTACGGATATTGTATTTTGACCTGCACTATCTGGTATTCAAATCAAACGTCAAAATTGGCGCCCTAGCGCCCCTAGGGAAAGCAACAGCAAACTACTCTACGCACACTTGCTCAGAATAAGTTTGACAAGAAAACTAGAGGCTTCTGGAGTGTAGCGTACGCACTGATCACAGTATGTGCTTAAAAGAGGAAGCGGAGGTTAGCGGGAGGGCGTTGGGACTCACCTCCCGCGCCCACAGCTCCCGCGGGGAGCCGTCGGAGCGCGGCAGCGGAGCGCGCGGCGACCTCGACGCCCGCGACGCGCGCGACGAGCCGCTCAGCCGCTGCGACATGCCTGCGCACGCGCGCCCCCACGCGGACGAACAACTTCGCGCTCACGTCACAAACATGGGCTAACTCGCACTGACGCTGTTGTACGCGCGTGAGCGATTGAAGTGGATGGCAGGTTCACTTCACAAACGTTTACGCTCTGATTGCGCCTGCATACACGTGGACGAATGAAGTGGATGGAAGGAATCATTCGCGTTCACGTCACAAACGTTGGTGAACTTCATCACTCACGATGTCAAAGGAAATAAACTGAAATATTTAAAATTTTTACACGTGCATTTAAAAATCTCATATCTTAATTCAGCACGTTCAGTTAGTTGGAACTGTTGGGACATATATAACAAAATGTTCTTGGTGAGTGTACATGGCTGTCATTACCAGTGGTTTGAGGAGTGTAGGCAAACATTCAAATATCGTCACGATAAGTGTTTAAAACCGCAAAGCACATTATGCAGAAAACAGAATGGTACGCCCGTGCAGATAATAAATGAAAACTTGTTTTTTCTTTCAAAGGGACCTTTCTCCCGTTCAAATCGCAGTACCTGGAGGGCCGGCTGCTCGGGTGGTGTCAGAGTGGTCGAGGCGCGGGGCGTCGCATGCGTGCGGAATGGAGGCAGCCGGGGGGGTCGACGGGATGCGGGGTGACGGACCGAAGGGCGATGGGCGCTGACGGGCGATGCGGTTGCTCGCCAGGAACAGGAAGGAGAGCCCAGCGCGAACCCGGGCTGTGGAGTTCGGTCTCCGCAGAAACGCCTTTGCCCATTCATCTCCCACGTCATTGTTGCAGATCGCATTTTAATAAACGGCGACAGTGGTGACTGACAAGCAGGACAGTTTACGGGTCCAAGAATCAGTTCGAATGGATCGTCTCGATAGCTCAAAAGTCGAACACCTGAACGTAAACCAGGAGATCCTGGTTTGATTCCCGAGCGACTTATGCTTTAAACTATTTGTGCATTTACTTATAGCAAACGACCATGGATCGATGAGGCGGCTTGACCAATGTGTATTCGATTCGAAACTCAATCGGCGGTTTTCATTAGATTTCGCTCGAACAAATGTAGACAGCTTGAAGTGAACTTCGAGGAGTCCTTTTCATTTTTATTTCCCAGCTCTAAACTTAGCTGCTCTTGTCTTGGTTCCTGCCAATGGTTTCAGTACCGATTGCATGAAATGATTTAGGAACAAAATCTTATATATATATATCGCTGTTGGGCCCCAGATTTTCTTCGTTGTGGCAAAAGGTCAAACGAGCAAAAGTGACTCAGGGCATCAACGTATGTCTCTACAGCGTCTCTGACCGGGAGGTCGTAGAGTTCAAGTCCCGACGGTGGCAGGAGTTTCGACACTAGCCAGACAGATAGGTCGAATTCAGCTGCTGTCTGGAGGAGAATTCTAGCAGCCGACTGCTCTGAAAGGTAGTTTTTCGTGGTTTCTACAATCAACCCCAGGCTAATGCTGGAGCCTAAAAAAGGGGCCACGGACGTCACGCAATCTTTCCTTTCTCTTCCTTGTCCTCATCCCTTACACCCGACGGGTAGATCGGCGCCGGATCTCGCCATCCAGAGAAGCAAGATCACCGCCACCTACCACGATAAAAGCATGCATTACACTTACGGGACTAATTACCCTAGCAGTTGACGCGTTGGGAATCACTAATCAATCAATTGACACATGCCAAATTTAAATACCTTGACTTATCAATTACCATTATCTCGTGGCCCTAGATTGATGGAGAACGTAGGTAGAAGATCGTTTCATTCCTACACTGAATGTTTCGTACATTGAGACTATTTGTGCCTATTCTTTTTACAATTCAAGTATAGTATTTTGTAGTATTAGTAGTCATTAGTATTAGTTTAATATTAAAACGTCTCTAATTGCCTCTTACTTAACGCATTTAATGTAATCCAATAAAATAATTAAGAAGAAACACCACTGTATCGAAAACGCTATAACACTGTGTTAAGAGCTGACTTTTAATATAGCGCGCGTAAAGCTTTCATAAAGGGTATATCATAAAGGGGCCAAAATATTGCACTGTTGCTAATATCCTCTACCGCAGCCTATGAGATGGCCGCCATCACGGCTACAGTTGACACATTGTGCCCATCTTCGCTCCGGAGATTGCGAGAGGTTAAACCGTCTCCTTGTTGCATTGTGAAGTTTCCAAATATCTCCAGCCGGGTGAGTCAACTACACTTAAAAGAATAGGAGTTAAATCGTGTGATGGTGTGCGATCAGGCTGATGTGCTTAGTAGTGTAGAAGTAGGATGAAAAAAAGCAACTGATAGGTGGATCGGACGTACTGGATGGTAGGTATCCTTTCAAAAATACTCATATATAGTCAATAAATTATATAAAAATTGTTTTTTGTCTGTAACCATCTAGCAAATAAAAGCGAATGTCTATTTCAAAGGTGAAGAAGCCGGTGCGGACGGCCGAGATCGTTAAGGCAGTAGTGCTGTAGCGATCTCGGACCGAAGGATCGCGCGTGGAAGTTCTGTCTCGGGCATGGTTGTATTAGTGTTCGACCTTTCCCCCCGCCCCCTACCATCACCATATCAAGTCATCTTCACAGTTACCATACCATTAAATGCAATAGTGTTCGCTAATGACCTAGTGATGCGACCTTAAATGACAAAAAAGTTAAAAAAGAAAGAAAAACTCAAGATAGTTAGGAGGGTTTCAGTTAGGAAGGTTTGAGAATTCAAAATTAATTTAAATTTGTTTCTTATTTCCGAATCTATTATACAATAAATAAAAACAATTTTTTCAAAGATTTTTGACACTTTCTAGGTCCCCTTTTCGAGTAGGAGATTTTTGAGACCTTTTTTCAAATGTGATGGCCATTTTTTTATGTTTTAATAGATTGGACAATTGGTGCTAATTTATTAATTAAGAAACAAGACACCAATAGTCATTATTTCATTAATTATATTTGGACAATTTTTTTTTTTCGTTTTTGAACATTCACAACTGTCTACAATTCACACCATTTTATTTTCAACACAAAAGCTTCTGATTTTTACTTTTATGTGAGTAGTAAGGCACCGAATTTAAAACAGATTTTTTGGTAGATACATTAAAGATAACCTACATTGTCCTTAGCAATCTTTGTTTTCATTGTCAATAGATTTTACTATAACTAAATATTTAATAAAATTTGATCTTATAATGCTTCTGCAGAATGAATAAGTTGTTAATGATTTAAGAGGTTCTCGTATGCATTTTATGTTCCTGAAAACGCTTTATCAAATCCCAAACGTCCTTCGAATCCACCACAAAAGGATTCGCCCCTGCCTCGACAAGAATCCTCATGATTTCGACTTTGTGACAGTCCTTCGCGACAACCAGGGCTTTGTTTTTCTGCTCAAACGTCATTCCCCGCTGGAGGAACCCAGAGAGGCATTTCTCGTGCCCACATTTGATGGCAGCGTGCAGGGCGAGCTGCTTCTCGTCGGTCACGCCCGCGTCTAACAGCGTAGCGACGCAATTCGCTCGGTTGTGTTCGGCCGCGGCTAGGAGGGCTTTGGCCGCGCGTTCGCCCGTCGCGTCCACCCCGGTGGCGAGCACCGCCCGCAGCACCGCTGCGCTGCCGGCGGTCGCCAGGGCCGACAAGGCGTCCGTCGCCGCCGCGCGGAAGTCGTCGGGGGTGGGACTGGCGTCCGCTAGAGCCCACACGACCTCGGGGTTGCGAGCGCGCTCGAGGGCCAGCCGCAGCGGCTGGGGGGTCGCTCCGGCCAAGGCCAGGACCTTCACCGCTTCAGCGCTGCCGCCTTCGACCGCCGCCACGAGGGGCAGCTTTCCTGGATCGACTTCTCTCTGCGAGTCGCTTCCACCGTGAGTTGCCTCCACGACGACGGTGGCTCCCTTGGCCAGCAGCGTCTTCACTGCCTTCGCGTGCCCGCCAGCTGCTGCTAGTAGAAGGGGCGTTTTCCCGGCCTTGTCCACAGAGTCCGTTTCCGCTCCTTTGTCCAAGAGAACCTCCATCACGACCACGTGGCCTCTGTCGGCTGCGTCGTGAAGCGCCGTCCTCCCTAATTCGTTCTTGGCGCCAACGTCCATCCCGTTCTCAAGGAGCAGCTGCACCGTTTCGCGGTGGCCCTGCCGAGCGGCGCAGTGGAGAGCGGAGTTTTGTTGGGTGTCGCAGAGCTGCGGGTCGGCGCCCTTCTCCAGCAGCAGCTGCACGAGGGGGGCGTGGTTCGCGAGTGCGGCGCAGCACAGCGGCGTGAGTCCACACTTGTCCGCGGCGTTGGCCGGCGCGCCCTCCTCTAGCAGCAACGTGGCCACTTGGCAGTGGCCGTTGGCGACCGCGAGGTGCAGCGGGGTGGCGCCTCGGGCGTCGGCGGCGTCGACGCAGGCGCCGGCCGCCAGCAGTGAGCAGGCGGCGTCGGTGTGGCCGGCCTCCGCGGCGGCGTGCAGGGGCCTCCGGAAGTCGCGGCCCGGGGCGTTGGCCGCGCTCGCCGCCCAGCGCGCCCGCTCCGCGTCCTCCAGTGCCGCCGCCCCCGCCGCTTCCAGCAGCGCGTCCAGCGCCGCCACGCGGTTGAGGGCGGCGGCGCAGTGGAGGGCGGTGTCGCCGCGGGCGTCGCGCGCCGACGGGTCGTCGCCCTGCGCCAGCCGCCGCCGCACGCCCTCCGCGGCGCCGGCCGCCGCGGCCGCGAACAGCGCTGGCGGCGGCGCCACAGCCGCGGGGGCCGAACCCGAAGGCCCTGCGGCCCCTGGACCAGCCGGGGGCGGGGCGCCCGCCGACAGCCGCCGGTCGCTCTTGGCGGTGAGCGCCTCCACTGCCGGCAGCAGCGACGCCAACGCCCGTCCCAGCGTCTGCTCCTGCCGCTGCACGCGCGCGCGCATGGCGCTCGTCTGCTGCTCCATCTCCGCTCGCAGCGCTCGCAGTTCCCGCGCGCATGCGCAGCCGCACGTCTCGGCGTTGCCGTGGGAGTTTATGCTGCTTTGGAGGGAACCTGTTGGCAAATACAATAGACATCAACACTCAGTCGTAGGTGTGCGCAATCTAAAATAATAAAATGTTTGCTATAGGGGGCTACGTTTCTGAACACAACTTGACATGTTATCTGTTTCTCAGCAATACACGAACTGAAATTCCAACCTCAGAACTCTTAATGAAAATATGCCGTAAATAAATTCTCCATGTAAATCGACTTACGACAAATTTCCATTATGAATTTATCAATTTTCTGTTTATTCGCAATAAGCGCTTATGTAATTGTTAGTAAGTTTTCTATAATAAACAACTCATGTAATCATTCTTCTGACTTTTGTCTTTCACTTAACCAGTTTTCAGCAATGTTTCCACTCAAATCACTTCGCTTACCCACCGGGGAAAGGACAGGAATACGACTGCCCGTGCAAGAGATGTTAATACTAGCAAATGAAGTTCGAATTTTATTGTCTGCTTAATTTGTTCTTATGTTTTTCGGAATTTCTTGTATGTGTTTGTATAGTGATAAAATTCAAGTTTTAAGGAATATTGTGTTACATAAAATAACTTGAGATTGGTTAAAAATCATTAGAACATTTAAATGATTTTATGGCTTTTCAGTGGGCTTTTACGTGTATTTTTAAACAATCGTTTGATTTGTTGGGGTCTGATGGAATTTTAGCCTTTTGTCTAGATTTTGAGGCGGAGTATTTCACGCGCGTGAGGCAAGCCCCCACACTCGCGGCTACCTCCAATTGAAACGTGACAATAACTCACTACTGAAAATGTATTCTACCCATGACTCTGAACTTAGGGTAGGCTTGACTATTAGACTTCGCTTTAGGTAAGTGTTTTTGACACTCACGCGCGTCAACTACGCAGGTCATTAGTCCCGTAAATGTAGTGTAATTTTCTATCACGGGAGGAGGCAGTGATCTTCCCCTGGTGGATGGCGAGATCCAGCGCCGAACTACACACGGCTAGCGGGGTTTTCCCTCAATCAGGTATCTCCCACCAGCGGGGCATCGCTCCAGCCGGGACGCGATCTAAGCTCCCGACCGGTCTCCCGGCGTGTGTTGGAGTAAAGCAAGTAAGTGTAAATGTGTGTATGTCAGGGGTGAGGATAGGACAAGGAAGAGGAAGGAAGAATTGAGCACGGTCCGTGGCCCATTTGTTTGGGTACTGCTCCGCCATTCGCCTGGTGCTGATCTGAGAAATCACGGCAAACTACAGAACAGCCTGTCGCTAGGATTCTCCTCTGCTGAACTCTAGCATTTAGCTATCTAATGAGTGTCGAAAATTCTGCCCCTGTCGGGACTGGAACCCTAGGACCTCCCGGTCAGAGGCACTGCATGAAATTCTTCGTATTTGGAGCTCTTTTTTAAGCAAAGTCCCTTTCTCCTAGTTTTACTAAACACTTTTCTTCCTCCAACTTTTCTCGTATTGGAAAGAAAGCTTTTATGGAAACTTTGTATTTCGGCAAGTTTCCAGATAATGTTGGGAGTGCGGATTCCAGCTTTAAGTGAAACACAGTCGAATCACATATTCCCAGAATTTCTTTCTTTCCCCATATTAATTTATCACATACAATATACAACCACCCTTACCAAAGGAAAGTATTTAACGTGGGTATATTGGTGCCACAAACCCCAAAATCACGTTTTTTGGGAGTGGCGTATTTTGAGTTACTTTTTAGAAATTAAGGAGTAAATGGCATGCTTTTCAAGAGATATTTGGCTAAAATGGTGCCACTATATTCCAAAACAATGCTCTGTTCCCCAAACACTACTTATTTGACTGAAAAAGTATGACACCAGTGGGAATATGGTTAATTTTACGTGCAAAACAACATAATAATAGTCTAATTTCAAATGAACATATCTCTGAGAATTTTTATCCAAAATTATTTTAGTTTGTATAAAATTAAAGTTTGGCATATACTTTAATCATCGTGTTTCAAACAATTCAACTATTTCATAGCAATCAGCTAAAAATTGTGCTTTCATTTCTTTCTTTACGATTATGCTTCGGTGAACACGTTTGTGATAACAGACGTTTCTGAAAGTTACTAATTTAGTTTTTCAGTTTCCTTGTAATTCTTATTAACGTCTCATATTTCACTGTTCCATTATAATTATGTACATTCCGAACGTCTTACCTAGCGTACGTGAAGGTGCGTAAAATAAGGTATTCATGTAGTCCCTAAGTTTAAGTTGGTACCTCTAATCAACTGTATAATTTTCGCGGATTGCCATACAAAGCATGTAATACATGGATCAAACGTGGACGGCATGGATAAATGAGTATTGGATAAAGAATGGATGGAAAACAAGGGTGCCGAAAATATAATCTCGAAGTCTATACAAAGTCTCGGACATGAAATGTATTGTAACTGATATTCGAGACCGTGTATCAAACTAGCATAAGAAGTTGTTTTCCTAAATGTCTATTCCACCTCTGACAAAATATTCAACATGTGTAACATATCCTTAAATAGTTAAAGGTAATCTGTTAACAATATATTTATAGTTAAAATAGATGTAGCATTTTGAGAATTTTTAACAGATTTGATTTAAAACTTTTTATTAAAAAAATGTTCTTGTAACAACTATGTATTTTCAGATTCCTCATCGCCACAGGTTCAATCTTCACTTGCCAGGCCACAGGTAGGCCTGTCAGACTCTCATATTTAATACAATAGGTTAATTATATAATTTAAATATAGTAGTTAAGTAGTAATATTTTTCTGAAAAATAAAGAATACTAATAAGGAGGAAAAGAAATCAAAAACTTAATCAGTATCAACACAAACAAAATAATTTTGTAAAAAACACAAACACACACAAATCAGAAGATCAATTAATGTAACTAATAAAGGTAACTAAAAGTAACTCTGCAAAGTGTGGAAAACTGGTTTTGAAGATTTTATCTTAGTTATATCAAGAACTAGGGACATCCATCCGGACAGCAATGAAAGAATCTTTCAACCAACATATTTCAGCAGAAATAAAAATTAACTAATTAAAATTTGTCAGGTTGAAATTACACAAAATCCTAATTAACTACTGCTTATACCAAGGCAAAATGAAAAGTAAATAGAAGTAACATGTAGGCTTTAGAGGCCTACACATGGTGGAACTGCCAGACACATATTTGCCTCTGAGATCCTCGATATTCGGTGATTTGGAATAGCACTGATGTGGTCAATTGGTTTTCTAGACACTAACTGAGATTTACATGGTTGTCTCAGGAGCACAAACAGAACAGGAGAGTCAACAATCGCTAATGAAAATTCTCTGTAGGTCCCACGGTCCTACCTGTGGCGATGAGGATTAAGATCTCACATTTGAATTTGATACGTCTATCATTAAATATTTTAAATTTATGACTGGAATTATTCCCTATTATTTAAGTGATATCTGAACCTTTTAATTGAAGTTAATTTACATGAGATTGCAATATATTATTTTGTCTTGTACAAAAACATTTTTATAAAATTGCAAGTAAATTGTTCAAGCTAATTGCCAACGTATTGCAATGTTGCAACTGCAACAATTTGCAGTTGGTATCATATAATATCCTAAAATATGTAAGATTACAATAAAAAGTAAATGAGTATTTAAATCAGCACTGTTAAAGATTGATTGCACTGTTAAATATTGATTAAATTTAGAAGTAACTTACTTAACTTCTCTTTACAACTGTTTTTGCTGATATATTCATGTTTGGTGATGTGAATTATTTATTCAAGTTTTCTAATATCAGCAAGACTGATATGATTTAACTCAAATGATTATTTTTAAAAAAATCAATAATTTAAATGACTATTTATTATTTGTAAAACTGAAAAATATATTTGTATTTTAAATCTTTGTAAAATAAAAAAAAAAAATTGGATGAAAACACTTAAATCAATTACAAATTTAAAATGAAGAATATTTTATATTTCTAACAAACTTTTTCACATGATTGAATAATTTTGAGAAACTAAAATACAATGTATTATACAAAAAAATGAACAAATTTATGAAACAAAGAACTATAAACAATTTGTAGTAGAGTTATATACTAATAGACTTAGATGAATGATTAGTTTTTATCCAGCATTTAATTGCATATTGATAAAAAACTATTTTAGCAGCTTTTTCTACTCCAAGAGCATTTCTGATTTTTGAGTGTACATACCCGAAAGTACAAATGGCTCTCTCAATACTAGCTGATGACAAACAGCAGTTAAATGCTGTATTATTATCTGTTCTTCACTTACCCTTAAAAGGGTAATAGGGAAGTGAGCTAGTAACAACTGTTATTCTCCATATTTTTTGATAACAGGACAACTATTAAATTTAATATTTCAAAATCTGACTAATATTGTGTTAAGTTTTTTGCCGAATTGAGTTTTTTTAAACAATAAGCGCTTTTCGATTAGGGTGGTATTGCAAAAAAAGGTAAAATGTCTTTGAACAAAGAATGCCTTTTTCAGGCTCATGCTAATAGATGATCAGCTTATTCGGTAATGTGGATGCAAGATTAGTGTTTCAAGAAAAAGAAACTATAAGCAACTCAAATTTGAAGGTTTTGTGGATTATGGTAATATTGTTCCGAACCCCTCATCACATATATAGTATCTTAATTTTTTTTAATGAATTACAATAATTTAGTGATAAATTTAAAAACTGATGTTTTAATAAATTTTTTCTTCTTTTAAAGTCATTTAGAGTAAATAAAACACGTAACGATTTTGGTTTGTACATTTGGTAGTGTACATTTGGATTATACTATTTTAAAATAATCTGCCTAAATCAAATAAATCACATTTCAAAAAATAAAATGGATTGTTTTGATTTTTTTAAAAATCATGATATTTTCCAGTTCTAAAAATCAGTATTTTGCACTTGATTAATTATAATAATTACATCACATTCGTTAATTTGTGTTTTAGTGTGTTTACTTGATGAACACCCAAGAATTGTCTTTTATTCACTCATCATATCTTGGCGAATTCTTTTCTTAAGATGTTTG